ACAAAAGAGAATGACGTAAAATCAGAATCCATGCAAGTTTCGCGGCTTTCAATACCATAACATGGAGGAAGCAGATACAAGCATTTGTGTAAATGCAAAGTATCATTAGGAGGATGCCGAGGAAGCCCGTGGAGGCTGAACTGCGCAACACCCCGCGAGAGACGACACCGATTTGCCTGGGGAAGGTCAGAGCCAACATTGAAACACACAGACTCGAGCCTCTCGCTAACAGATCCAAGCTGGGATCCTCCATTAAGGAGGAAACACAACCCACTCACAGCACAGCTCTTCCCCGCGAGAAGGACGGTTAAGAAGCAGCACAAAACTATCTGAAGAGTTATTTTAAGAAAACCTTACTTGAAATCCACGTGAGCTCCTCTCTTCCATACGCAGGACGGCCAGCAGAAAAAGTACAAACAATGCAACTTGCTTCTACCAAAAATGTTCACAACAAACCCGAGAACACGGCTTCCTTCCGACAGAATTATCAGCAAAACGCCGCTCATGCGGATTCTTTAACTTTATTACTACACTGTGCTGCGGAGGATAAACTCCTCTGACGTGTTTGTGGCAGCCATGAAAGTAATTGACTGATCTCGTACAGCAGGATCCAAGGGTGGGTTTCTTTCGTTATGCTACTTCCTCCTTTTCATCTACGTCAGCTCAACAGAACGGCGCTAAAAGCACCCACGGAGCTCCCTGCGGCGGCTGTTTTCTAACATCCCACGTTCCTCAAAACATGGCAAACAAGGCCAGCAGAAGAAAAAAAGCAATGCAAGACAGTCCCGTGGCGCTTAGGGACGTGGTTTAGTGGGGGACTTGGCAGTGTTAGGTTTACGGTCGGACTCGACGATCTTAAGGGTCTTTTCTGACCTAAACGATTCTATGATTCTATTCTACGATTCTACTTAAAAATGGTATTTCTCACTTGAAATTGAAAAGTTTTTCGGATTAAACAGCGCGAATGATTGAAGCACCCCAATTCTCTTAAGCACACGGTCCTGGCAAACGTCAGAGCCGAGGTACCGGCCCTGTGCCCGTTCCCAGAGCTGTCGGAGACAGAAAGGTCTCATGCGAGATTGGACGCAGGACCGGGGGCAAAACCTCTGCTCCCCAAGACAGCAAAACCCTCAGCGTGCCAGGACCACGGCTCAGGGTTCAAGTCCAGAAACCCAGCACGAGAAGATGACCCGCTCAGGCTTTACCGGTGTTCATCTTTTCTCCCTTTTCCCAAGATTTTCCATTGGCAACAGCAGCAGAGACACACGTGCCGAGCAAAGGTTGCGTCGCACGTCACGGTTTACGGCTTCGATCACGTAAGGGACGTGACGGGGAGCGGAGCTCGTCGGCCACGGGAAGACGCTCCAGCTGTGAAGCAAAAGGATCAGCCATGAGCGGCAGCCGCAGAGAATGGGGGAAGATCCACGGGGACGAGAAATATTTGGGAGGAGAAGGTTGGAGCTGCTCCCGTCCCCCCCCGCCGGGCACTTTGTTTCCGAACTCACACGGATGTACCGGCCTTGTGCCCCCCCCCAGCACGGTGCCCACCCGGGGGGGAGACCCCCAGCAGCTCAGGGCCCTCCCCGGGGCTGCCCCACACTGGCCCAGGAGAACCCCCCCCATTGGGGCGTTTCTGGTTGTCCTGAGAGAGAAGGAAATTTCCCGTTTTCTGGAGGGAAAAGGGCGTTTCTGGTTGTCCTGAGAGAGAAGGAAATTTCCCGTTTTCTGGAGGGAAAAGGGCGTTTCTGGTTGTCCTGAGAGAGAAGGAAATTTCCCGTTTTCTGGAGGGAAAAGGGCGTTTCTGGTTGTCCTGAGAGAGAAGGAAATTTCCCGTTTTCTGGAGGGAAAAGGGCGTTTCTGGTTGTCCTGAGAGAGAAGGAAATTTCCCGTTTTCTGGAGGGAAAAGGGCGTTTCTGGTTGTCCTGAGAGAGAAGGAAATTTCCCGTTTTCTGGAGGGAAAAGGGCGTTTCTGGTTGTCCTGAGAGAGAAGGAAATTTCCCGTTTTCTGGAGGGAAAAGGGCGTTTCTGGTTGTCCTGAGAGAGAAGGAAATTTCCCGTTTTCTGGAGGGAAAAGGGCGTTTCTGGTTGTCCTGAGAGAGAAGGAAATTTCCCGTTTTCTGGAGGGAAAAGGGCGTTTCTGGTTGTCCTGAGAGAGAAGGAAATTTCCCGTTTTCTGGAGGGAAAAGGGCGTTTCTGGTTGTCCTGAGAGAGAAGGAAATTTCCCGTTTTCTGGAGGGAAAAGGGCGTTTCTGGTTGTCCTGAGAGAGAAGGAAATTTCCCGTTTTCTGGAGGGAAAAGGGCGTTTCTGGTTGTCCTGAGAGAGAAGGAAATTTCCCGTTTTCTGGAGGGAAAAGGGCGTTTCTGGTTGTCCTGAGAGAGAAGGAAATTTCCCGTTTTCTGGAGGGAAAAGGGCGTTTCTGGTTGTCCTGAGAGAGAAGGAAATTTCCCGTTTTCTGGAGGGAAAAGGGCGTTTCTGGTTGTCCTGAGAGAGAAGGAAATTTCCCGTTTTCTGGAGGGAAAAGGGCGTTTCTGGTTGTCCTGAGAGAGAAGGAAATTTCCCGTTTTCTGGAGGGAAAAGGGCGTTTCTGGTTGTCCTGAGAGAGAAGGAAATTTCCCGTTTTCTGGAGGGAAAAGGGCGTTTCTGGTTGTCCTGAGAGAGAAGGAAATTTCCCGTTTTCTGGAGGGAAAAGGGCGTTTCTGGTTGTCCTGAGAGAGAAGGAAATTTCCCGTTTTCTGGAGGGAAAAGGGCGTTTCTGGTTGTCCTGAGAGAGAAGGAAATTTCCCGTTTTCTGGAGGGAAAAGGGCGTTTCTGGTTGTCCTGAGAGAGAAGGAAATTTCCCGTTTTCTGGAGGGAAAAGGGCGTTTCTGGTTGTCCTGAGAGAGAAGGAAATTTCCCGTTTTCTGGAGGGAAAAGGGCGTTTCTGGTTGTCCTGAGAGAGAAGGAAATTTCCCGTTTTCTGGAGGGAAAAGGGCGTTTCTGGTTGTCCTGAGAGAGAAGGAAATTTCCCGTTTTCTGGAGGGAAAAGGGCGTTTCTGGTTGTCCTGAGAGAGAAGGAAATTTCCCGTTTTCTGGAGGGAAAAGGGCGTTTCTGGTTGTCCTGAGAGAGAAGGAAATTTCCCGTTTTCTGGAGGGAAAAGGGCGTTTCTGGTTGTCCTGAGAGAGAAGGAAATTTCCCGTTTTCTGGAGGGAAAAGGGCGTTTCTGGTTGTCCTGAGAGAGAAGGAAATTTCCCGTTTTCTGGAGGGAAAAGGGCGTTTCTGGTTGTCCTGAGAGAGAAGGAAATTTCCCGTTTTCTGGAGGGAAAAGGGCGTTTCTGGTTGTCCTGAGAGAGAAGGAAATTTCCCGTTTTCTGGAGGGAAAAGGGCGTTTCTGGTTGTCCTGAGAGAGAAGGAAATTTCCCGTTTTCTGGAGGGAAAAGGGCGTTTCTGGTTGTCCTGAGAGAGAAGGAAATTTCCCGTTTTCTGGAGGGAAAAGGGCGTTTCTGGTTGTCCTGAGAGAGAAGGAAATTTCCCGTTTTCTGGAGGGAAAAGGGCGTTTCTGGTTGTCCTGAGAGAGAAGGAAATTTCCCGTTTTCTGGAGGGAAAAGGGCGTTTCTGGTTGTCCTGAGAGAGAAGGAAATTTCCCGTTTTCTGGAGGGAAAAGGGAATTTCTGGTTGTCCTGAGGGAGAAGAAGGAAATTTCCCGTTTTCTGGAGGGAAAAGGGAATTTCTTCTGGTTGTCCTGAGGGAGAAGGAAATTTCCCATTTTCTGGAGGGAAAAGGGCGTTTCTGGTTGTCTTGAGGGAGAGACTGGTTTCTGATTTTCCAGAGGGAAATGGAAATTTCTGGTTTTACTGAAGGAAAGGGAAGTTTCTGGATTTCCTGAGGGAGCGGCTGGTTTCTGGTTTTCTGAAGGGAAAAGGAAGTTTCTGGTTTTCCTAAAGGGAAAGGAGATTTCTGATTTTCCTGAAGGAGGGGCTGGTTTCTGACAGTTCCCGAGGGGGAAAAGGAAATTACTGGGTTTCTGGAGGAAGCGGCGGGTTCCTGGTTTTCCTGGGTGAAAAGGAATTGTGAGTTTTTCCCGAGGGAAAAGGGAATCTCTGTTTTTCCTGAGGAGGAGGAGGCGGGTTTCTGGTTTTCTTGAGGGAAAGGGAATTTCTGGATTTGCTGAGGGAGAGCCTGGTTTCTGTCTTTCCTGAGGAAAAGGGAATTTCTGGTTTTCTGGAGGGAGGGTTGGGTTTCTGGTTTTCCTGACAGAAAAGGAAATTTCTGGTTTTCCTGAGGGAGAGGCCCCTTCCCGGTTTTCCTAAGGGAAAAGAACTTCCTTTTCCCTCAGAAATTTTAGTTTTTCCAGAGGGAGAGGCCGATTTCTGTTTCTCCCATGGGGAAAAGGAAATTTGTTTTTTTTTTCCCTAAGGGAGACGCTGGTTTCTGTTTTTCCTAAGGGAAAAGGAAGTTTCTGGTTTTCCTGAGGGAGCGTTGGTTCCTGGATTTCCCAAGGGAAAAGGAAATTTCTTGTTTTCCTGAGGGGAAAGGGCGTTTCTGTTTTTCCTGAGGGAGAGATCGGATCCTGGTTTTCCTAAGGGAAAGGAGATTTCTTGTTTTCTGGAGGGAGAGACCCGTTCCTAGTTTCCCCAAGGGAAAAGGAAATTTCTGGTTTTATTGAGGGAGAGGCTGCTTCCTGGTTTTCCTGAGGGAAAAGGAAATTTGTTTTTCCCGAGAGAGCTGCCAGCTCCTGGATTTCCTAAGGGGAGAGGAAGTTTCTGGTTTTCCTAAAGGGGAGGCCAGTTTCTGGTTTTCTGGAGGGAAAAGGACATTTCTAGTTATCCTGAGGGAGAGCCCGGTTTGTGAATTTGCTGAGGGAAAAGGAAATTTCTGTTTTTCTGGAGGGAGAGGCCGGGTCTGTTTTTCCCGAGGGAAAAGGTAATTTCTGTTTATCCCGACCTAGGGAGCAGCCATTGTATTCATGCAGTTTTGAAACCGTAATCCTGATTTTTGCCTCTTTCTTCCAGATCTCTAGCCATGGCGGAAGGGGAGAGGCCGAGGCCGCTCCTCCGGCTGGTGCAGGAGGGACGGCTGGACCTCCTCCGGGACGAGCTGCGGCCGGACGACGCGCTGGGCCCGGCGGTGCAGAGCCAGCGCTACGGGCGCTCGGGGGACACGCTGCTGCACCATGCTGCCCGGTACGGGCACCGGGACGTCCTCGCCTACCTGGTAGAGGCTCTGGGGATGGACGTTGAGGTGTTCAATAGCGACTACAAAAGACCCCTCCACGAAGCGGCCTCCATGGGCCACGGGGAGTGTGTCTCCTACCTCCTGGAGAGAGGCGCGAGCGTAGACTGCTTGAAAAAGGCAGACTGGTAGGTCACTGGCTTGCTTTGCAGCGGGTCAGAGCGATATCTGAAAGAGGTTTGGATGTAGAAGGTGAGAATGTGACTGCAGGAGCTGTCAGAATCATGGAATCACAGAATGGTTTGGGTTGGAAGGGACCTCTAAAGGCCATCTAGTCCAACCCCCCTGCCGTGGGCAGGGACATCTTCAACTAGAGCAGGTTGCTCAGAGCCCTGTCCCCTGGAATGTTTCCAGGGATGGGGCATCCACCACCTCTCTGGGCAACCTGGGCCAGTGCTTCACCACCCTCAGCGTAAAACATTTCTTCCTTATCTCTAGTCTGAATCCACCCCCCTTTAGTTTAAAGCCGTTCCCCCTTGTCCTGTCACAACAGGCCCTGCTAAAGAGTCTGCCCCCGTCTTTCTTACAAGCCCCCTTTAAGTACTGACAGGCTGCAAGAAGGTCTTCCCGGAGCCTTCTCTTCTCCAGGCTGAACAACCCCAACTCTCTCAGCCTTTCTCCATAGCAGAGCTGTTCCAGCCCCCTGAGCATTTTCGTGTCCCTCCTCTGGACCCGCTCCAACAGGTCCGTGTCTTTCTGATGCTGAGGGCTCCAGAGCTGGACGCAGTGCTCCAGGGGGGGTCTCACCAGAGCAGAGTAGAGGGGCAGAATCCCCTCCCTCGACCTGCTGGCCACGCTTCTTGTTACGCAGCCCAGGATACGGTTGGCCTTCTGGGCTAAATTCCAGCCCTGTCACTGATTTCCCCCTGTTTATCATAGAAGTTGTAAATTTCTGCTTCATTAGCAGATCTAATTTAAAAGCTTTTGTCTGCAGCTATTCGTTCTTCCCCATTCCCCCATTTGATGGGAATCAGTGATACTGATTCACATTTTTGTGTCCCGGTCCTCAGAAACTGAAATAAGGAGATAAAAATAAAGTTTTACTCCTGTTTCCCCCCAGCAAACAGAGCCTCTCAGGTCAGATTTGCTACTGATACAATAGCAACAGCCTCAGCAAGCCAAGCAACAACTGGTTTCTTCAGGGCTTTCGTTTGCCTGCCACGTGGGTAACACGTAAGCAAATGATGAAGGAATGAGAATCGGGAATAAAAAAATAAAGCCTAATCTACAGATGAGCAGCAGGCCTGATTAATGTCAAATTCTCCTCTGGGGAGGGAGATTTCTGTGTACCACCTTGCAAAAGAAAGCGAAGATTCTCCCCAGCCCACAAATTGAAGCCCGGGGAGGTTGTTTTGAAGCCGAACTAACACAAATACAAAGGCAGCATCCCAGTCCTCGGAATTCGAGGCTGTGCCAGCGTCGTGCTGACATCAGGGGGAGCAGAGGGAGGCAGAAATCTAGAGAGCTGCGTGCAGACGCGTGTGCGAGCCTGGTTTTCGTTGATAGGCCCGCAGTACCCTTCCATCCACGGATTAAAAATGGGGAGCTACGTGCTTGCTAGTGCACGTCCCAGCCTTTGGACAAGGTCTCATTTGCATTGAAAATACACGCTGGTCTGAGGCACTGTGTAGAAACGGAGCTGCAGGAAACACGGAGCTCCAGGCTCAGCTCTACCCCATCGTCCCCAGCAGACGCGTGTGTAACCTCTTCTTAAAAATCTCCATCGCTGGAGATTTTATCTCCCTTCTCAGCGCTCTCTTCTTGTCCTTATCTGTCCTTAAAACTGGAGCGTTTCTCCTGAAGTCTAAGCCAAATCTCTCTCCCTGCGGTTTAGGCCCACGATTCCTTGTGCGGTGGGAAGTTTTTGTGCCACAGCTTTTCCTGAATGAGGAATGGAGGGGGGTTTTTTTTGTCTCCTAGCTGACGTATGTGGGTTGGTGAAGAGGAGATAAGCCCTCTCCGTGCTGGAGAAGCGTTCATCTTTTCTGGGAAAGCTCAGAGGTTTCTGTCCGATCCGTGCGCGCAGCCAGCGTTCGATGATTGGGTGAAGTTTATAAACAGATAAAATGGAGGATGCAGCTCCCACTTGCAGCAGTTAAACTGTTATTGTTATGCGATGTGATAATTAAGGAAAATAGGGTTGGTGCTGGTGAGGTCAGTGAAATTAGTCATTAAAGCCAAACACGGGAGATGTCTGTGGGTTCACCGCCTCGAGTTACCCATGCTTTGCCTTGCGAGTAAACCCTCAGCTAACGCCCACCTCCTGATAGCTCTGGGCTTACAGGAGGCTGCAGATCCAGCAACCACACCAGTCCTCAGTGGGGAAGGATGGGCAAGGAGATAACGGGTCACCAGGGAGGAGAAACTCAGTGGTGAACCTGCCCTGCTGCCAAGCAGGGGCCAGGGTGGTTGTTAATCTGCAGCGCGTGGGTTATAGGTGTGAAAACGTGGTCATTGCTGGATACGGGGTTGAAAGCAGGGCGAGGTGGGCTGTTTGCCGTGTTTATTTGTCAGATGTATCCACTGGCTTCCCAGGGGCGCACACACAATCCGTGCAAGGCACAGCTCGGAAATTGTGGGATGGAGAAGATGCTGTTCCCCTGGGGAGCTTGTAAAAATGTTTTTCAATATCAAAGGTTGTTCCCAGGCATGTGAAATAGGATGGAGCTGTGAAAAGCTTCACTCTCAGGCCAGCTGCTCTGCATCAGAAATGTTCCAGAGTGGCATTTGCTGGTACGCTTATGCTCTACTGCCAGGAGATGCGGAGCTGTCTGTGGTTTGCTGCCTGCAGCCACAGCTGCCTGTCTGGATGACTGGCTGGGGTAAGAAACACTGACGTTAACAGCTCTGCCTCAACAGTCCCCAAAAGTCCAGACCCCATATTACCTGCATGAAAAAACAGTGCTGTAAAATCTCACGGGTCCATATGCAGCGCGTGGTGAGCCTCAGTCAAAGCATCCGAATGCAGGTGAGACGATAAATTTAGCCTCGGGCTTGGAGAAGGTCTTTGCCTTTAGCCACCAAAGTTTCCTACTACCTCAGAGTGGTTTTAGCCCATCAGTTTTCCCTCTGGCTAGCTTATCACAGCCGGCACTAAGCTACTGTGTTTTATTAGACAGGGCAGTTGGTGCTACAGACAATTAAATCATGCTTCAAGCTCAGATGTTTGTACAAAAGCTGTCAGGCTCGTACGACACTGCCTTTCTGGTTATTATGTTTGCCTCGTCTTTCTTTTAGGACTCCCCTAATGATGGCTTGCACCAGGCAAAACCTGGAGGTGATCAAAGCTCTCGTGGAGCATGGAGCCAACCCACTGCTGAAGAACAAGGACGGCTGGAATTGCTTCCACATCGCGAGCCGGGAGGGCCATCCCCAGGTCCTCCAGTACCTGCTGGACGTGTCCCCGGACAGCTGGGACACGGAGAGCACGATAAAGAGAACGCCTCTGCACACAGCAGGTAAAAGAGGGTCCCGTTGCCACCAGACGAGTTGGAAGAGAAGAGCGGGCTGTGGCTGCAGCGGAGAACAGAAAGGCGTTGTTCTTTCAGTTCACATTTAGTTTGGAGAAGCAAAGTGTGACCTATCTTGATACAAAACCACAGGGAAACAGTTAAATATCAAGTTATTGAAATTAAATTAAAAGAGACTAGTGGTGGGCATTAGTGGGAGCTCACCTCTCTGAGCTTCAGTCTGCTAACAGTGCTCTGCTGCACCTTTGCAGGGTTTCACCTCAGGTCAGACGCTCATTTTAGTTGCTTTCAGATAAATAAACAGCAAGAATTAGGCTTAGTATTTCTTAACGGTGTGCCAAAGACTGAGCTTGTGAGGTTGGAGGGTCCCCAGTCCCCGTTTCACTGGGTTTTGCCTGTACTCAAAGCGTGTTTTTGTGATGCATAACAGTTATGTTCTCTTGGGAGCGGTGGATCCATCCCAGGAGCACTCGCGATCACCCACTGACTTTGGCCTCCTTGGACCAGGGTGTTCGTCTCCATCTCTGCCTCCCTGTGACAGACATGTCCAAGCTCCCACGGCTCCGAATACGTTGCAATACTCTTTTCCTTGCTGGTGTATAAAGCCGCAAATTGCACTTGGAAAATCTGCAAGGCTCCATCCTGGCATTTTAAAAGTCCTAAAAGCGGCAGAGCTGCTGAGAGACACCTTTTGGGATCTGCCTGTTGATGGAAGTTTTTACCAGTTTGGTTTATAGTCTCGTCGTCAGTATTTGTAAGAGAAATATCTCTCGAAATGATCCGGTTTTGTCCAAATGCTTGGTGGGTTAGGTCATTATGGCAAATCTGAAGAGCTGTAGGTTCTCTAGGCATAACCTCCAGAAGAAGCGTCACAGGTTTTCGTATTCTCCCAGTCCTCTTAAGAAGGTAGTATCTAGCGGTGAGAAATCCAGAGTGCCTTTCTGCAAAGGGGAAGGATAGTCTCTGCTGGGAGTACGCAGCGGCTGTTGTTAGGGTTGGAGCCCGCCGTGTCTGATTCCCCTTCTCTGCCCCTTTCATTGGTTTAAAAGGACTTACAAAGGGAGTGAAAGGGTTCGAAGAACTACAGACATCGTCGGGCACGGCTGGGGAGCAGAGGGCCACAGTCAGCTGAACGGTGACCCAGAGGTAGTTTGGATTTAGTTTCTGGCTTTCTGACTCTTTTGTCCTTGAGATGGAGTGATTCATCTTAATCTATGAATGATGCACAAGGCGTGCCTCAGTTAAGTTCTCTGCGTCTTAATAAATTGAATGGCCCAAAAATCTGTTAATGCAGAATTAAGTTTGCCCCACCGTGTCTCGTTGCCCCTTACAGAGTATCGGCTCTGGTTACCCACAGACCCGTGCAAGCTAGGCAGTGCAGATAAAGCATTGGTCTTCCCAGAGCCTAAATCCCCTTAACTCTGCCCTCCAGAGATGCAGTGGGAGTGGACGATGAAGGGAGCGAGTTGAGTGAAGGGAGAGGTGTGTGGCACCAAGTCAGGGTGACGTTGTGGGGCAGGCTCGGGGCTGGAGGGTGGTGGCTGACCTGAATTTGAATCATGCCACATCCCCGAGCGGGGATTTAGGCTGTGCGTCCCAGGGCTCGGCAGTGTCTCCGCAGGAGAGGTGAGCGTGGGGAGCCACCGCTCAAAGCTGTGGCTACCTAAACTCATTTCCCAAAGAATTTAATAGGGATCGTCTCTCTGGAAGGACCTGAGGTATCGTGAGGAGACCCCTGCTGTGCTGTAATTAATCTGTTGGGTATATTGCTCCTTGGCTGTCGTTCCCGTTACTTCTCCGGCCCTCAGTAAGTCACCCGTCCACCGCACTGTGCTCATCAGCAATGACAGTCCCAGCCCAGGGGCATTGGCTGCGCCTTAGTCCTTGTGCTTGACCTGGGAATGAAAAATAGCTGATGAGTTGTTTGATGTTTCAGGCTGGGCGGCGAGGAGTCTGAATGAGAAATGGCTAATCCTCGTTTATTTGCGCGTTCTCCCGTCCCTCCTCAATCCCAGGTCTTGTGTTTCTGCGTCCGGGCTGGCAGGCTGGGCTCACAGCCCCCTCTCAGCCCTCTCCCTGCAGAGAGGTGGATGTTGGGTTGGGATCTGGGGGTTGAGGATCTGGGGACAGGGTCAGGAACAGGGTGAGGACTGTCCTGAGGAAAAGGGGTGCTTTTGACCTTGAGCTTGAAGTCTCCTCCCTGCCTTATAGCGCTTGGGATATGGGGGTACAGACAGCAACGGTGGGATCCAGCGCCTGGTTCTCACTGCTTCATAGAGGTGTCTCCACCTCTGTGTTGCCTCCTGTGTTGGACTTTCACTGTGTTAAAGCCATCAGCCCGTGATTTGGGTTGATTTCTGGTCATTTTACTGATCCAGGTTAGACCCTGGACCACACGTTGGCGGAGTAGCAGCCGGTGCGGGAGCGACTGGGCAGCAGGAAGGGCTGGAGCTGCTTAAACCGCCTTTGCCCCCAGCATAATTTTAACCCAGGACGATGCTGGGGGCTGCTGCTCGGTGGGTGCTGGGGCCAGCATCCCCACGCACCCCACCACGTAGCCCAGTTACACAGACACAGCTCCTGAGGCGGGGGCACGGGCGAGGGGCCGGAGACGATGCTGGAGCTGCCGGGGGAAATCATGTCAAGACGAACCGCCGTCTCAATGAGTTTACATCCCAAGGGTGTGGATATGAGCACATTAACCCGTGACCAGTCCAGCTGGCTTCCTGGCACCGTTATCCCTGGATAGATGATGGGTAATTTTCTCCTTGGAGTTGATTCCTTAAGCTTTGCTGCTTCATATATCCGTAGCCTGAGGCAAGAGAGTGGGGGAGATGTAATTAGAGGAAGTGGAGTGCAACAGTGGATCTGAGCGCCGCAGCTTTCTTGTGTCTCTGTTGCTGTTAAAGGATGTAATCGTGTTGCTTGGGGTGTTTTTTCTTCACGTAGCTTGGGTTTTTTAATGCCTCCGTTTCGAAAATCCTTTTCACAGTGTGGCTCTGCCTGTATTTACATCAGCTCAGGTGAAGGGGTGATAAACGGGCAGGGAGCAGGAGCAAAGGGCCGAGATCTGGGAGGATGGGAACCCCTCGTTTCAAAGAGCATCTATTGTGCAGCTGCGTCTGAAGGTTATTGCTGGTAACACGCATTTGCCAGGGGCCCTTCTTCCATCGCACAGAGTAAATAGCCTGATGTAGCAGCTCCGGGCTTGGTTTGATATTTTTTTCTTTAATGTATTTCATTTGTTTTGCGCAACAACCTGCAGGAAAAAAGCTAGATCAAGGCTATCCTTACATTGCTGTAATACGACGTGTTTTTAAAAAAAAAAGAGAGAGAAAATTTCGGTGCGTGATGTTCAAATCCTCCCCCACTGTTGTTTTTCCTCTGAGACGCTGTCTGGGTGAGGATGCTTCATTAGGATGATGAGATGGGAGTGATGGGTAGTTTGAGTGGCTGAGGAGGGGTGGAAATGCCATCCAGCTATTCACCAGCTCCCTGCTTTGTGTTCATTTTGCTTCTCACAGATTTCACTCCGGGGATTAACAAATACTTGCAAGAAACGACCTTTGTGTCAGCTTAATTGCATGTACGCTCTCACGCATGTACTCCGCAGGTAGAGGCAAACGGTGCCTATATGCATGCCTTTTCCCTGTTTTATCTGGTGTTTTCCTATAGGATCAGGGGAAGAGAAGGCTTGAGATCTGGAGACAATGTTTTAATTAAAAAAACAAAACCAAAACCACTCTGAATTCAAAGCCTCTTGGAACCCCTTCCCTCATCACGAGTAAGCCAAAAGGGTCAGAAACCGGATTATGTTTCGCCGTAGGCAGACGGTGGCACGAAAACATAAATTAACCCTGCGCTTCTCTCTCTCTCTCGCAGCAATGCATGGCTGTTTTGACGTTGTGGAGCTGCTCCTGGAGCGGTAAGCAGCCTTCCTCCCGGCACTGCCTCTGCCTCCCCGCTCTCCCCTGCCTCCCGTCCACCGCCAGGCTCGCTCCAGCCGCCCGGACACAAAGGGCGTTTATGCCGTTCGGGAAGCCCGGTTGCACAGCTGCCCTGCGTGCGATCCCGAGGCCGTCTCCATTTCCTCCGGGTTTTTCACAGCCGGTTAGGGGCCTTTGAGACAAGGAGGCTCTCCGGATGGGCTCCGATGGGCTCTGACTTCGCTATGACATAAACCCCGGTTATATAACTCGGCTTTTTTTCTGTGCTGATTCATTCCCGTTGCCTCCGATGTGTCTGAGGCCATACGATAACAACAAAACAGTTTTCTGGCAGCTTGGTTCTGGGTGCAGCTCCTCCAGGCTGGACTCAGCCTCCAAGCTTTATTTTCAGGCTCTGGCTCCCGGGAGGCTGCTGTGAAGTGGCTTTAAATCAGCCCGTGCCCAGTCATCCTGACCCTGTTACCTTCCTAACCAGCGCTGCCCGCTGCCAGAGCTGGAGCAGCTTTCCCCAGACATCACAGCCGCTGCCAGCCACAGCTCCCGTTAGCCGACTCGTCCCAGCCTTCTTAATTCCTGTCCACGCTTGGCCCAGCATAAACATAGCCCTGTGATTTGAGCCAGGCTTTCAATTTTAATTCAGTCTTCTCTCATTTCAATGGAGCTTTAACCTGAGCAAGACCTGTGGGCTTTGATTTTGTAATGTGGTGTTGTTACATGAGGATATGGTTTTCCCCTCTGCCAGTGCACATCTTACCCCTCCTACAGATCCTCTGTTCGGGGGGCAAGGGAAATATAAATGATCTGTAGAGCCCTGGCTTTCCTGCAGCCTGAGCAAGCTGCACTGGCTGAGTACCAGATCTCTGACCCAAAACCCCAGCAGACCGTACCCCAGGCCATAAAGCACCGAGACAGGTTTATGCATGGTCTACGGACAGGCTTTATATCTGCCATTTCCGATCCCGTCCGCTGATAGTCTCCTGCCCCAGCAATGCAAAGCAACTGGTGCAGTAAGGATTTTGGAGCCACCAACAACTCTGTCCTGGCTTTTGTCTTCTCTCCCAGGTGCCAGTACAAACCTGACAGCAGAGACAAATGTGGAGTCACTCCCTTTATGGATGCTATCCAGAACGGGCATGTCAACATTGCCCGGCTGCTCCTGGAAAAACACCAGGTAGGTGCCAAAAACCTCACCTCCCTCCTCCAGGACCTGACCTAGAACTGCCAGGACAGGCGATCCACGCATTCACCATAATTGTAAAGAAGCAAATTCCCAAAATGCAAAGAAGTGAATTCTGAAAGAAGGCAAAAGTCCCCCTGGAGATGAGCAAGATTTTGTTGAGTAAAGCGATCAGGACTCAGCTCATGGTGAAGATCTCACCCTGGGACGGGGACATGTCCCCATAGCTGGTGAAGGGGGATGGAGAGACAAGGCAGTGGCAGGAGGGGACAGGACTTGCCCAGCGCTGCAGGGACAGCTGTGTCAAAGCCAAGATCAGCACTCGGGAGTGCCAGGGCTCAGCGTGGAGGCTCTCGTGGCAGCGCTGAGGGTGGATAAGACGGAGGCGTCTGGCTGCGCCGGCAGCAGCTCCCCTCTGGCCTCCTTCTCTC